CTGCCAAAAGCAAAAACAAATACAAGTAGTATCCTTGTGTTGAACTCTTGTCAAGCATGAATGTTGCAGAAATTTAAGTCTTAATATAAGGCTGTGTATTTAATCACCCAAGATAAGCGAAAATCATTCATTCTATACTGATGATAGGAAAGTGATTGCATAAATAAATAACTTCCGTTTTTCTGCTCAGATTCCAGATTTTTTAAGCTGATGTTCTTATTTTACAGCTCTGTGTATATTGCTACTTTAGCAAGAAGAAAGAGAAAAGTTCTGCAGCACTTAAACTCTTTTTGCATGTTTATAATGTTTCAAACTGGAAACAACTTTTTTTTGTAGCAGTAAAAAATATATGGTGGGAACTTTTATGAACTTTCATAAACTAAATTGCATAAATACTTAGTAAAAATAAAAACTTTCCAGTTGTCTACAAATGTTTAGAACTAAGTGTCAAGGATGTTCTTAAAAGAAACACTTATTCTTCAGTTGTGTTGTCGTGTAGCACTAAAACAAATAACACAAAACTTTTACAACTTGTGGGAGTTCCAACTGTCTGTATTCAGCATGGATGAAGATGAAAGAACTCAAATGAAACTCAAGTTGAGAGGCTAATTCTTTTCTTTATCAGTGTTTTCTTTGGTGAGCAAAATCTCTAAACTAATAGAAAGTTTGCTGCTCACTGATTAAATATCTACGTGATTACTCCAGTTAGTGTTAATGGATATTGTATATATGTAATAATCTCGGTCTTAATGCCTACTGAAGGAAACTTGTTATTAGGTGCAAATTTCATATCATTTTGGATCTATAATTTTAACAAAAACATTCTGATGTACATTTTTGTTTTGACTCCATCTTCAAGCAGAAATTAGTGTGGAATGTTGAACCAAAAAAATCATTCAGTGAAAGATTTTAAATTGGTCTCTAAGTTGTGACTTATTTTGTTTCAGAAACAGGAGGACTGTTTGGATTGGCTGTACGCTTGATGCAGCTCTTCAGTGATAATAAAAGGTATAGTCATCAAGTTAAAGTTTTAAAAGAAACAGCTGGTTGTTGTTTATTAAAAGATATAATATTTCAATAAGAGTAACAGTAGTAAGCTTCTAATTAAGAGCTTTACTTATGTTAATTTTTATCATTAATGCTACTATTCCCTTTCAAGTTCTACATTGCAGAAATAGAAAAGTTTGTTCACTTTACTTTATTAAGTATGTTTAGTAATAATTAAATACTTGTATTTGAAACAGCAAACTACTTTATATTAAAGAAATTATACACAATTTCTAGTTCAGCAGTTGTAACAATACCTAGGCAGAAGCAAATTGGATAGTTTTAATATTTTTCAAATAAACATAGTTTGTAGATGCCTCAATAGGGGAAAGTTGAACTCTATTAAAATAACATTTATTCATGATGTTAGAAACCCTATAATCCAAGTGAAGCTGGAAATGATTAAGTAAAGCTAAGTTTGAAAAAACATGGAATGCTGTCATTGAAGACCACCTTGTGTTTTGATTATCTTTCATTGAAATGATGAAGTCAATTGAAAACTAGTATTCATATATACACATCATGGTTTATTTTAGTACCTCCTCTTCCCTCAAGCCATGATTTTGAAGATGTTACATTTTTTTAAGTTGGTAAGATACTGTTACTTGTTTTGGGAAAATAATAAATTCTTCCATGTGTTAATGCAAAGTGCGACCAGTTAGTTAATGTGCCAAACTGTGGATCTGTCATTTGGTCTCATTGTCACAAAAAACATTTTGGGCTCTGCACTTTGGAACCATGGATGCATTGTAAAATCAAATTTCAACACTCAGTAAGACAAGAATAGCCAAATATGAAAAAGGACAGTTATTATTATGTCTTGGGTAGACCTACAAACAACAATAGCTTAAAATATTTTAACGTTTTGTGTCAGCATTTCAAAAAATTTACATAACTGAGAGAGGGTTTGTTGGTTTTTTTTATATAGACAGAACAGTTCTAGTTATAAGGATATCCAGGAAAGAAAGCAAGTTTCCCACTCAACTTTAAACTGTGATGATTTTCTTGTCATCAGTACACCAATACTGCCAAAAATAATGACTTCAATTAAACCAAAATACAAGGCATCTATGATTTTCTTGTCACCAGTACACCAAAAATAACCTGACTTCAGATAAACCATGTGAAAAGGCGTATATTAGTGAAACAGAAAAAACTTAAACACAAGAATAACAGAATGTAAAAACAAAGAGGGCATTTAAAATTGAAATACAAATAATGTAACATTTCTCAATGGAAGAGACCAACCATCCAATGACCTGGAAATCAGCCAATATAATACATAAAACAAAGAATTGTTGGAAGTTGTCTTATTAAAAGTGTACAAAACTTTAACACCTCTGAAAGTCACTTTAAGATGAACATTTTCTAAACCTCATTTGTACCCAAACAAATTTCAAAATGAGGTTTTTATTTAAGTTGTGTGGACAATTTTTTGTGTAGGATTCATGTAATATTTATAAATTTATATTTTATTAAATTATATTATTTTATATTTATTATATTATACGTTTATATTTTACATTAATTTAGCTAACATAATCAATATTGGATATTTTAAAAATATCTTAAAATGCTTTTAAAAAAATGCCATAAATTGTTGCACTGTACAGAAATTATGAATCGCATCTTTCAATATCTGAGTGACACACTGATGTTCTTCTTGTTTGGAACATTTCTGTTGTAGTTTCTAGTCTTCTGCCTATGTGTAATTTTATGTTCAGCTCATTCCTCTGGTTATATTATATGATTATAACCACTTGAAATAAAACGTAATGTGTTAAAAACCAATAGGAAAAAGTACTTGCTATCCCATAATGTCCTTGTCGAAAAATACAATGAAATTGTTAATGTTAAAACTATTGTTTTTAAATGGTAAAGTGTACCCACAAGCTAGTATATAATTTTTTTCTTCTATTTGAAGTGATTTCACCACACTGACTGGAATTATGGGCCTATACTTTCAAATTAGAGATGACTATGCCAACTTGAGATCCAAAGAAGTAAGGGTGTTATCTAAAATCTACATAGGGTGGGAAAAATTATTGAAATATATGTGTAAAGCACTCCAACATATAGTTTCTGCTTAGTTTTTTATTTTTATCTTTAAAAAAATGATGTACATTTAGAAGTTAGAGTTCTGTAGTTGCTATGTTGTTATTGTTTTGTAAAGTAGTAATATCTAGTTCTTTACAGCAAGAATCAGGAAAATGAATTAATGTATCAAACATATGTACAGGAAGCTCGTGAAGTAACTGCACTTAATGAAACATCTCGACTGTTTGCCATGAAATTGATCTTTTTCCACGAGGAACCAGGGGAATTTTTTTATTGTGCTTTCAAAATGTACAAAAATATACATGCTTCATTTCTTGCTGTTTTTAGGAAGGATGTAAAATTTTAAAATCCATTAAAAATGCCTATGGCCAATTTTTTCATGTACACTTTAGCATTCAACCAAGAGGCAAACTGCTGCATTATTAAAATGAGGCTTCATTTATTTATGTTGTTGAAACTTTACTCTCTCGCTCAGCTGTGATAACATATATACTTATGTTGTTGAAACCCTGCAATCTTTGTATCCCAGCTGTGATAACTTGTATACTTGTGTTGTTGAAATTCTGCAAACTGTATATCCCAGCTGTGATAACATGTATACTTATGTTGTTGAAATTCTGCAATCTTTATATCCCAGCTCTGATAACATGCATATTTATGTTGTTCAAATACTTCAATCTTTATATCCCACCTGTGATAACATGTATACTTATGTTGTTGAGACTTTTCACTCTTTATATCCCAGCTGTGATAACATCTTGATCTGCAGTGACACCTATCTCAAAACATATTCCGATACAATAAATTTACCACCTCTTAGAGTTACAGTTATTCTCGATATTACTGCTCTCTAGTTTGCAAATTTTTGCTTGCTACTAGCCTTGAAACTCCTACCTGGTTCCACATGTATACTATGTGGCTTAGCTGCATTTAAGCATGCAAATTAGCATGTGACAGTCCTTCACTGATAGGAGTATGACAAACCATCCTGTTGCAACTGACTTCTTCTATGCAGTTGAACCTAATCTTCACTTATCGATTTGGCATGACAGTTTTAAGACCTAGTACTTGATTTCAAACATTTTTTCCTCTTCTGTGGAGCATTTTGAAAATATTCAATTACTGATTTTCGCATTTCAAAATTATGTTTATAATACAAAATCGAGTTGGATTATTTTATTTGATAGTGAATTCTATTTCTTACTCAATTACTGGTAGTCAGTCAATATTTATGGATTTACAACTTAATAGTATGACTACAATGGCTAACAATGATACTGGTGTTCAACAGCCCTGTGACAGTTGCTGCAGATGTGGCATTATTGGTGGAGGAATTGTCAGCCGTAAGTTGTCGGGAGATGGCTTCTTTCATGCAGGCTGAGGGATTTCCTGATGTACAAGCAATTCTGCTATTATCTGAGGACTTAGATCAGGATGATGTGGACTTGGATAGTGTGCAGGCATGGTCTAAGCCTGTTGAAGCACTTAGACCTCAGTCACCATTTTTAGACTTTATCACAGATATGTTGTGTTTTGTCACCCGTATCATTTGATCCCTCCCCTTCCTTATTAACTGTAACATCTAGTTCTGAATTTTTGATTTCCCCTTCACCTGATACTGGGATCCATGTTGAATGTTTTGCAGATCAATTACGGTGGGGGTTAGTATTTCACACACTCCACACACTGCAGAGGCTCATGTACTTGCATATCATTATATCATTGTTCAGCAAACCCTTGGGTCATATGAGTTTTCCTCACACATCCCACCCCTGTCCTAGTTCCTCCCTTCCCCCTCAAGATCCTGTTTCCTGCCAGCATCTCGCAGAAGCAGTTCAAGACCTTCTCTTCAAGGGTGCCATCAAACAAGTTTTTACTGTGCTTCCAAGATTTTATTCCAGATATTTTGTCATCCCTAAGAAGACTGGGTATTAGTGCCCTGTTTTCGATCTCTCTTGTCAAATCACTTCTTTGAAGTGCTTTGATTCACCATGGAATCCTACATGTCTCTCAGACGGCCTTTCTTCAAGGGCTTTTGATACAAGATTTGACGTGTCCAACACTTATCTTCACATCCCTATTGCTTGGGCTTCATGTCATTATCTACATTTGTCCTCAAGGATCACGCTTATAAGTTCTGAACTCTTCTTTTCGATCTGACATTAGCACTCTATGCTTTCTGGCAGGTGGTCTGGTCAATTGACATCTCATCAGGGACCCTCTGGACTTACAGATATCCCTTCCTGCTTCCCTTCTGTCTGACTTCGTCTGGTGGATAGACAGGGACAACACAACAGTGAGGGTACCTATTTCTCCTCCCTATCTGGATATCCATGTCTTCACAGATGCCTCATTGTCAAGATGGGATGCGTGCTGCAATACATAGATCTCAGGCCATTAGTCTTGGGAGGAATGACATCTTCATATCAACTTTTTGGAATTCTTTGCTGTTCGTCAGATGATGGTTCACATTCTGACATTTCTGTGGGGTATGACAGTTATGATTCATTCTGACAACTCAACAGTTGTCTCTTACATCACCTGACAAGTTGGCCACTCGATCTTCGTCCTTATGTTCCCACACTCTTTCACTCCTCTTCTGGGCTCACTGTTCTTCTGTTTCATACCAACAAGATTCTACCCACAGAGTGGTCTCTCAACCCCCAGGAATTCTGATGACTATGTTCTCACTTTGATACTCCCCAACTGTATGTATTTGCCACTCAATTGAATGCCAAACTTCCTCTCTTTTGGTCCTCAGTTTCACATGATTGACTTTGGCCATGGATGCTTTCAGCCAGGACTGGAAGAACATTTTCCTTTATGCATACCCACCTGTCTTCTACCCAGAGTGGTTTCTCTCATCCAATCCACTCCATGTTGAGTCCTTCTTGTGGCTCCTTTGTGGTCAGCTCAATCGTAGTTTCTGTCCCTGACCCTTCTCTAGGAACTACCTCAAATTATTTCTCCCTCTCTCCCAGTCCCTTCTCTGGCAACCTCACTTAGTAGTGCTTCCTTCCATTGTTCCCACACTCTGGCTTCATGCATGGCTTTTTTTCCAGTCCCTTCAAGGGGTTCAGGACTATCCACACATGTAGCATTCCCGTTGTCTCTCTCTGTCCATTTCTCATCCATATCTGTGTATCAACATGAATGCAGAATATTCCATTGTTGGTCTATCCAGCATAAATTATCTCCTTCCTCATATATCTGAATGTTTACATGTTTGTTTGACATGGGTTTGTTTGTTTCAATCATTGCAGGCTTTAGGGTGGCCCTGCCATCTACCTGTTGTTTTCCCGTTTTTGCCATGTGTTTTACTCTCCAGTTTATTTTGGTCTGTGCATCTCCATCATCCTCCTCATACCACACAATTTCTGGAATGGAATCTAAATGTTGTTCTCCATGTCCTTTCCTTTTGCCCATTCAAACCACAAGTCTTATGTTCCTTATATCACCTTTCCTTCAAGATGTATTTCATTCTTCTTTTGGCTTGTGAAGGTCGATTGTTCATTGTATTTTGTAACAAAAAACCTATGTCCCTTTATATCCTGACTGTTCCTCCCTTCACAATACATCTGCTGCCTGTGAAGGCAGTTTTGCCTTCACCTTTCTTTTCACTCTCTTCCATATCTCTTATTTACTCCCACTTTGATCCAGATCATCTCCTTTGTCTGGTCCATCCTTTATGGTGTTACATGTATCACACAGCACTCTTCCATGGCTCTCACTCTCTTTCTCCTGAATCTTGCCAATTGTTCTGTGTTTTGCCCCATCATATCCATCACCTTTCAATGTCCTTGGCTGCTCATTTCTGTCATCTTTTGGAGGAGATTATGGAATACACCTTTGTTTTCTGCTACTTGCATTATCTGGCAGTTTCCTGCTCAGCCTGATATTGTCTTTTCCCTGTAGCCATTCTCCATGTATTGGTACAACTATGAGTGGGTAAGTTATTTTTGTTTCACTTTTTTTAAGGGGCCTACTTTACATGCTTTGGTTCCCACTATGTAGCAAGTAGTGCCTATCTGGATATACTGATATACAAAATCTGCACCGTGAGAGCTATGAGGTCTATCATGCTCACTATTTAGATGGGGTGTTCCACAAGACTGCTTGCAGGTTCTTCCTTGCAGTATTTTGCATCTATATATAATAATACTGTTTGTTGTATGTTCA